AAAAAAAAAAAATAATAATAATTCTGCTGCTCGTATTTCAGTCCAATTTCAACTTTCTCCTCCAGAAATTTGTTTGTGGAATATTTTAATTGATTGATAATAAGTGCTACGAGTACATACTCGTACGTACATATGTATTTACATGCATATTGAACTTTTGGGATCGCTATAATTTATGCAAAACTTTGAGGAAGGCTAGGAACATTTTACGGTCAATGTCTTATATAAATATTGCCTTGGTTTAAAGTACGAAGCCTCTGATGTTATATGCCAACTAGGGCGGGTCGAAAATCTAATTTTTCTCAAATCGCTTGGTAATAGCGAAAACATATTGTATCATGAAGTCAACAACAAGCCTGCAAAATATTAGTAGTTTAAATATATGCATTGTTATTGGGCTTTGTACCAGGATTGTGTTTGATAGGAAAAATGGAAAAGCAACAAAGTCTAAGCAACAAAGAGATCACCACATCTCCTCATCGGGCTTCTTTTTTACCTAGATTCAACAGGTATCGAACCCGCGTCATCAATGTGCAAAGTCAGAACGTTAACCAATAAGCTAAGCACACCCCGTAAGATGTGGTGATCTCCGAAATAGCTGCTATAATTTCTACCGCTTACAATTCTTTTATCAAATCAAATGTCATCAAATATTGCAATCAATTTGAATCTTCAAACTAAGCTCGAACCCGATGACAGTGCAATACGAAAGAGAAATTAGTCCGGTAGGTGGCGCAGGAGTCGAGATATTTGAAAAAACCCGTCTTTATGACCCAATTTGTTTCATATTTAGAAAATTTATTATTTATATGGAAAAATACCGCCAAAAAATATTTTGCCATTAGTTGGCAGGGGGATACAATTTTTCTTTTTTTTTACCACTAATAAAAGCTTTTCTTAGATAAATTTCTTTTCAAATTACTGGTTGAAAATGGAACTGAACATTTTCATAAATTTTATTTCTGAGTACTGGAAAATTTTCTACTGCACTTATGGTGATTTTGTTTCTACCAAAAACTATCGCCTATTGATTGCCCCTTTCTCTTTTCGTGTTCCATTCTAAATTAAAGGCAAAGGGTGAGAAAATTTTGTGTTCGTTTCTTAAAATATCACACTCATGTAAGAAAAAAGATACATTCTCTGCGCTTTGAAGCTTTGTCAGGGGAGAAAATTGCACTGAAAATCATATGGTCGTTTAAGACGACAATAATATGAATATAATATGAAATACATGACAAGGACAACAAGGCAATAATATGTCCTTTTACAGGGTTGAGCGTAATATCAAATACATCTTTCATCGGGGAAGGACAACATTTTTTAGAAGAAACGAAATCACCGTTAAACAAGTAATTTTTAAGCAAAAGAAAACAAAACCGACTTCGATTCTCATATAAAAATTTAAGTTTACCGTTATTTTCTTCATAATCTAATTAACAGATCCAACCCAAATTAGTATGGGATCATCTCGGAGGTATTATATTTCCTTAAATAAGTATAGAAATCGGTTAACGTGGTCCAAAGTAAAATAAAAATAAATATTCCGACGAATTGATAACCTCCTTTTTTTGAAGTCGGTTAAAAATAAAAGAAAACTTGAACGAAAATCTTACACGTTTTTTGTTGTTGTAGCAGCTTATTAAATTTGTGAATCGGCTACATGTTGATTTGGGCACGCACGCTTGCATATAAAAATTCATTCCGACCAAACTATATCGAAATGCACGCATTTTTTTTTCATAGATAAATGCAGAAATGTTTATTACATAAGTTGTTGTTAAAAATTTTCGTCCACGAGGCGCATAAATTGCTTAAAAATTCAATTTTTCATAAAAAATTGATTGAAAAGCAAAAAAAAAAAATTTTATAACGCAAATAATTTCTTTGTATAGTTTAATGTTTCTTAAACCTGCACCCAAAAAGTTTCTTCATTCGGACTCTTACTTTCAAAGAAAAATAAAAATTTCCAAAACACTGCCAAAATTTTCAATTGTTGATTAAAAAGAAACTATTTGGAAATTTGCAACAAAAATTACACAGTGTACTGTTCGACTACAAAACTCGGCGCTGCCTGAATGTCATTGAAAAATATTAATGTTGGTAAATTCGGTGCCCACTTGAGGAAGCCTTACCCATTTATTACTTTGAACTACCATAAAAAAACCGCGCATCGATTCACGTCAGAGCCATTTTTTTTTTCTTTCAGTATATAGTATATAGACGTTAGTGCAAAAACAAAGTAATAACAATGGAAAATGATTACTGCGAGTTAGCGGAATGGAAACGCAAATTGTATTATTGTCTTGTTGCTGTCTTTTTTTGCAATCCGGAAATGAAAACAAACGAATTCAGTAAGCAAAAGTTTATGTTGCGAAGTGGAATATTGAAACTAATAAAAATCAGCAAACAACAAAACAAAGTAATCACAGTTTGATGTTTATGTTATTGCATTGAATCAGAGCCATCACATGTCAGGTGAAACGTCAAATGGAACACGTACGAGTATACACATAAATTCAAAAAGGACGCACATAAAAAATGCGCATCAAATGTATGAACATAGTATCTATGCACTTGCAATGGTTTTATGAAGCAACGTAAAAAATTTAGAATGAAAAACAAAAACTTTAATGAATTTGTGCACCCAGCCGGAAAGAGCATGAAAACGAAGGATATATCGAATTGGAAAATGTTCTTAATACGCCATATATATCGGATTCCTTACATTGACATTTTCAAAAAGAAATTTTTTTTTTAATGAGAGGCGTCACCATCAATGTAAAATGTTCTAACAACCTACATGAAATTTTATAAAAGTGCAAAAATCATTTGATATCGGCACTATTCGATAGATCCCAGTCGGCAAAATTAGAAAAAATAGGCCTTTAGTTCGTATATTTTTTGAAGTAATAGGCCTTCCGTGCTCGATTCTTTACTCTTTTTCATTTTATATGGCATGGTCAGAGTTTGCAGGCCTTCTGATTCAGCTTCCCTTAGAAGAGAAAAATTTACATGAACTAATAATAAAACAGTTTGAATTTAACTTTGCAGTAAACGCACCACCTTCTCGTCTGTCTACGAATGGCAGCGCTATTGGAATATCCTCTAATAAAGCTTCCAAAAAGAGAGTGTTATTGAAAAATCCCTTCCTGAAGGTGTTCGTGTAGAAACGCTTCTCATTCCGCCGACTGGGATGTGGGTGACTTGAAATTTTAATGCTGAAATGTCTCAGTGGAGATTTCTCTACCGTATTCTTATATACATATATATATATATATATATATATA